TTTTCTATTTGTATGCAGGCAAACTGATCCCAGTATAGATACTGTATTATCCTAATACGTCGCCAAATAAATCAATCTCACCTCGCGTATCTAGCAATTTAAACAGTAAATCTCATATGTTAAATTTAATGTTATTAAAATCCAGATTTTGAGAATTACCGTCGACCAGTCGGCTCCCGGCCTAGTGGTCTACTCCTGACGTTGATTTTACATCTCGTATGGATCTAAGAATTGGACGGTTATTTGATTTAATCCAATCATTCCTGTTTAACCGTGAAATGAAGGTTGTCCTGAACGGGTTCTTTTCCAGTTCCTTCCATACGAACGCAGTTGTTCCTCAAGGCTCTGTTCTTGGTCCTAAACTGTTTCTGATGTTCATCAATGATCTTCCTGACATCATCAGTTCTCAAGTCGGCATCTACGCAGACGACACTATCATTTACTCCTCTCTCCATATTAAATCCGGCATTACTGACAAAGTTAACCTGGCCGTTGGACTCGAAAACTGCCTCCAATCTGTGGTTGACAGGGCAGGAAATGGCTTGTGAATTTTAATGCATCCAAAACGAAACTGCTGTTATTTAATCACCGCAGAGAAACGTCCCTGCCTCCTAACAGCATGGTTGATGCTCAACTTCACGAGAGCGTCTCACTGTGCCTTCTTAGCTTCACGTTTTCCACGGACCTGAAGTGGAACAACTACGTTGAATCAATAGCTGCATCTACCACAAGGAAAGTTGGTTCTCTGTAACGCGATAGAAGGTTTTTTACTCGTCTGAGTCCATCCTTCACAACTACAAATCTACCATTCCTCCATGAATGGAATACTGTTGCCATATATGGTCTGGTACCCCCGCTGTTCATCTCGAGGTCCTCGACAAAATCCAAACAGAAAAAAGACGGATATGCTGAAACGGAGATAAGATGTCGATTGACATTACATTTACATTTTTGAAGATTTTAGTTATCAGTGACGCAAGTATCAGGAAGGTAATTCCACTGTCAGGAGGTGTGAGAGAAGAAGCTGTTGGAGTAGAAGAGGCGGTTACATTTAACTGTTTCAACTGTAAAAAGAGTGGGACCGAGATGCTAACTTAGTAGCACATTTAAATTCATGTGGTCGGGGAACCAGTGAAAATAGCTCGTCAGAGCAGATGCCATGAAAATATTTGTAGAAAAGACAGAGGGAAGCCACATATTCAGTCGGTCTCGACTCTAGTCATTTTCTCACCGACAGAATATGTGGCTTCCCTCTGTCTTTTTTACAAGTATTTTCATGGTATCTGCTCTGTAGAAAATAGCTTGTCACGTGGAAAATAATTCTTCACCCACAAAGATGCAGAGAAACCTTAAGACTGTATCAAAACTGCAAAGTGAAGACTGGGTAGCTCCTGCCCATATTTAACAGCTGTACTCCATTTTCAACCTGATCTGGCTCTTGTAAAGGTAGAAGATAACAGGAGAAGTCAGTTACTTACTGGAGCAATATAGGGAACTGACTATTTTTTCAAGCATCTTTAGCAATGTATGATATGTACAATTTCCACTTCCAAGTCTGGGTTGAGCATAAATCCAATAGGCACTCAAGACACAGAGCCTCCATGAAAGAACACCCGTTCGTCCCGATAGGCGAAAATTCAGTCTCCACTTGGTGATGATGAAACGTTATTTGTTTGGTTTTTCCAAGCATTGAATGTGACCAGCCAGTATTTCTCTCACTGAGCTGTTAGAGCTAGGTCAGAGGAGAGATCAGTTTCCAGGCTCTAGTCATCTAGATTTTTGGAGGTGCAGCCATATACAGTGCTTTGCATGAAGGTCATAAAGGTATATATAGTTTAGGTTTGTATGAGACTCTAAAAGGTAAACAGATGTCTGAAAGGAAGTGATAGGTTTGGTTTGCTTGATAGTCTAAAACACAGAAATGGATTTGGATTCCCTGAGAGTCACAATGGTAGACACAGATTAAGTCTGCATCAGAATTAGAAATGTAGGGAAAGGATTTGATTTGCAAGAGAGTCAAAAAGACATTGATTTTTTTTTTTTGCATGAAAGTCAGAAAGGTAGACGTAGCTTTGGTTTGTATGAGAGTAAAAAAAAAGGTAGCCATGCCTACAGTAAATAGATTGCCCCTTTTTGTATAGTCAGCAGATTCTTAACCCTAACTGACAGGGCGTATAAGGGAATAAGTTAAATGAAAATAAGCAATAGTACCAAAAAATTAGACAGCTATATATTGAATTGTTTTGCCCACTTACAGTTATAGAAGTTGTGCTTAAGTCGTAATAGGTATCCATGAGAATCTAAATGGTAAACAGATGTCTGAAAGGAAGTGATAGGTTTGGTTTGCTTGATAGTCTAAAACACAGAAATGGATTTGGATGCCCTAACTAATGGAATATAAAAGGAGTGAGGATGGTTTGTTACAATTTCGGTCGAATGACAGGTCTTAGCTATACAGGTAAGAAATGGTAGAACTAAGGAATGTAGTTTGTCTGAACACTTTCTATGGTAATAGCAAAAGAATAACTTTGTCTGTGGAAATTAGGTTTTAAGGTAGAAAATAATTCATCACCCACAAGGATGCCGAGACGTTTTTGGAAGATATCGAGACACGAAAATGGAAACTGGACAGCTACTCCAATTTCAGCCAAATCTGGCTTTTGTAATGGAAGAGGATAGAAGGAGCCAAGTACTTATTGGAGCACTAGTGGAAACCGATCATTTTTTCCAGCATCTTTTGCAATTAATCGATTATAAGGCTTGTCTCGCTAGAAGAATTACGCCTGAGTAGTGAGTTCGATCCTCACTGGCTGCCACATACTTTTGGCCTTGTGCCACATCTAAGCTACGCTTGGAAAAACACTAATCGATTATACGAGTTCCACTTGGGTTCCGGGTTGTGCTTAAGTCGTTATAGACGCGTAAATCACGTTCATCACGACAGCTGAAAATTCAATGTCCGCTTAGTTTGTCTTTCGGGGTATTGAATGGGACCAGCCAGGTTTTTTCCCCCCACTAATCTCTTACAGCTAGGTCAGAGAAGAGATCAGCTCCCAGTCTTTAGACATCTAGAATTTTGGAAGTGCATCTGTATACCTTTGTATCATCAGCGTAGATAATCGCAAAAGATCTGAGTATAATTTTGGGCAGATCATTTATGTAAAGTAGAAACAGGGATGGATCGACCCTTGAGGCCTTCGTTAGCAATTACGTTTAGCGTTATGAATTACTTGATAAACGAGAAGACTTTGCCAGTGGTTCCATTGCTAGAGAGCTTGGGCAGAAACTCTCTATGTCACACCTTGTCAAAGGCCTTTGTAATATCCAGTGTGATCGTTCTTGATATATATTTGTTGTCTTGTGCTTTGATTCTGCATGTAATCAAAGATAAAATATCATAGCCGATCGAAATCCGTACTGCTTGTCGCTCATTTGGCTGTTCATATTGAGGTGATCAGCAACTTTATTATTGATTGTAGCTTTAAAAAGTTTGCTAATGACACTAAGGATACTGATGGGTTTATACTAACAAGAGGATTGCTTATTTTGTGTTCTTTTCATCGCCTTTAATCATTCTTTTTAAAAGTGGGCCGTTTTTGTGCTTTCATTCAGAGAGTTGCAACTGGGGATGTGGTTCATTGTGTTCTGTTAAATCGTGAGGTACCCAAATATCGTAGCGATTTGCGAGTACTAAGAGGTATTTCGCCATGTCCTATGTCGTGTAATATTTCAGCCATGTTCCGTGTCGTGTAATCTGGATTGCTTTCAGCCAACGTTTCAACTGCGGGACTGCCGGAATATTCTTTATCTTTGAGATTTAAATTTCCACTTCTGAACCAAGCGAAACATTTTTGAACGGTATTATCAACTCTGGCACCATCCCCATAAATGGTATATTTCTTTTTATTTTCATTATATGTAGAGCGTATTTTGCTTTGCGGAAAATAAAAGAGAATCAAGCGATGAAACTTCATGCTATTTTTGTTTCATATTCAATTTATCGCAAGCAGATATAAAATGTACTTACCGCACAAATTGAATACAAAGACGCGTTAAAATCTTACATTTCAGAAAACGTATAGATTCCGTAAATCTCAAACATATTTGGAACGAGAACAGGTTTTCAAATATCTCTGGTTAATATATACTTTTATTTCTATTTTTCTTTTCATAGCCATTTTTCTTTTCATAGCCATTTTTCTTTAATTTTCTCTTTTTTTCTTTCTTTCCTTTTCATTGTTTCTTTCTCACTATTTTCATGATATTTTTTTTTTCTTTCGTGACCATTTTCTTTCTTTTCATGAACATTTTTTACGTTTATTTTGTCTTTCTTTTGTTTTTCTCTCTCTTCATTATCATTTTTCGTTTCCCCATTTCTTTCTTTCTTCCTTTCTTTGCATGGTCATTTTTCTTTCTTTCTTTCTTTCTTTCTTTGTATGGCCATTTGTCTTTCTTTCTTTCTTTCTTTCTTTCTTTCTTTCTTTGCATGGCCATTTTTCTTTCTTTCTTTCTAAATCATTTCACGACCGTTTTCTTTTCTTTTTTGACGCCATTTTTTATTTCACTTCATGACAATTTTCTCTCATTATGTCTTTCTGTCTTTCTTTTGTCATCCTCTATTTTCATGATTTTTTCTGTTCTTTGTTTGTTTCTTTCTTTGGATAACAATTTTTCTTTCTTTTTTTCATTCATTCAGTCTTTATTTTATTCATTCTATCTTTTCATGACACAATTTCTTTCTTTCTTTCTTTCTTTCTTTTCATTGTCGTATTCTTTCTTTCATTATTTCTTTCATTATGATTTTTCTTTTTTTTCTTCATGACAATTTTCTTTCTTTCATTCTCTCTTTTCATGACCCTTTTTATTTCTCGGTTTCTTTGTTTATTTTCATGGTCATTATCTTTCTTTCTTTCTTTTCATTACGATTTTCCATTCTTTCTCTTCATGACCATTTCATTTCTTTCAATTTGTCTTCCTTTCTTCTGTTCATTCTCTCTTTCATGACCTTTTTTGTTTTCTATTTTCTTTCTTTCTTTCTTTCTTTTCATGACAATTCTTTTATTCATTTTCTCTTTTCAAAATCTTTTTCTTTCTTTTTTCTTTCTTTCTTTCTTCCTCGTCATGACCATCTTTCTTTCTTTTATTCATTTTCTCTTTTCATGATCCATTTTTCTTTCTTTCTTTCTTTTCATGACCATTTTTCTTTCTTTCATTTACACATTTACTCTTTTCATAATCCGTCTTTTTTCTTTCTTTCTTTCTTTCTTTCTTTCTTTCTTTCTTTCTTTCTTTCTTTCTTTCTTCATTCCATCCTTCGACTTTCTTTCTTTCTTTCCGTGATTATTTCTCTCACATTTTCTAGAAAATTTAGAATAGGTCCTCTACTTTCGTTGTGCTATACAAATAAAGGGACACTATTATTACGAAATCGTTCTTGGGAGGAACAAAGGAGTTCTTTTCAGTTGAAAATGTCCAATTTTCAGTAGACTTCTATCCAAATTGGTTGCCTTTGTAATTTTTATCATGGCTTTTGGGATGGAAACTTCATTCCTTTGTTACATACACCACTAAACTTTTCGTTTTATGTTGCATTACTCCGTACCAAACTGCTTTAGTCAGTAGTTTGTAATGTCTGTTCTCTTGTCGCCTGATCTCTTGAATGTTTTAGGCGGAATCTTTCATCGTATTTCACACACACACACACACACACACACACACACATATATATATATATATATGCGTGTGTGTATGTATGTATGTATATAAAGTATATATATATATATATATATATATATATATATATGTATATATATATATATATATATATATATATATATATATATATATATATATATATATATATATATATATATATATAATCGACTCTTCCGTCGCGTTCGACGTATGAGGGCCAGGTGCATGAGATTTGTTTATAGTGGTGAAGGCCTTGTGCAGGACCAGCCACACTTTTTGGAGGAACGAATACAGAAACCTGGTGCAACGAATACATGCGACAAGGTTCCCAAACGACCCTCCGCAGGTTTTGAATTCAGAGTTGTCCTTCTCCTAGACCGGTTGCCATCCAAGGCTATAAAACCCAGTCTGTCCTGCTATTTTACCCATAGCTGGAGGGAGATGAAGAGGATATACCTTTCCCAATATATATATATATATATATATATATATATATATATATATATATATATATATATATATTGATTCATTTCTTTAGTTCCTTGCCAACAGCAAGCAGAAATATTTCGCCTCCCGATGATGGCCATTTCGGTCGAAACTAGTCGAGGAATCTAAATGGAATAATAATAATAATAAAAACGAAAGAATATTAATCTACAACCCAGTGTGTCTAATGATTTTAATTTTTTAATTTTTTAATTTTAATTTTCTTATTGTTCAATATATATATATATATATATATATATATATATATATATATATATATATATATATATATATATATAAGGCTCAAACACTATTAGTCCATGGTTATAATTTATTACATTGAATCGTAATCACGATCCAATTCATCAGACCTACAAATTGAAAAAGAAATCTGAAAATATAACTCCGGGTATAAAAAGCAAAATTTTAGTGAGAGTGTATATGATGGAGTGGGAAACAAGTGTGAGAGGGAGATGTATGAAAACTCTAGAGAAATGTCTTATAAATTGTGCCTAGCAGTATTATTGTGTTTTATGCACTTTTATCTAATATTTGTTTTATCTATTACTAGCAGGAGAGCCCGGCGTTGCCCGGGGATGTAAGAGTAAGAGACAGATCAAGTATCGACCATCATAAAGACTGAAAAATACAATTGACAAATATTATTGTTTAAGGTGACGTACATGCATGTCTTAATTAGTTTTTTTTTTTTTGCCTGGACCTGGGAACACCAGCAATTAAGAGGTGGTTATACGCTCCTCAAAACCTCCTTATCAGAGGCCTTGCTGTTGGACGTAGCTTATTTCTTAACCTGGACGCAGATGTAGTTTATCGTCATACCCGGGAGGTGCAGTCAGCGTATTTGACAGCCCCAGCCGACAGGGCGTCTGCTGCCACAGGGTTCGAATCCCCGGGACCGAACACCTTTTCCTATCTAAAATAATGAGAGAACAGATATTACACTTTCAATCGATCCCGATGGCCAGAGCGTCGTAAATGTATCTTTTGCTATTCAAATACGCGTTCGCCCGTCAATGTCAGCGTTTAAAACATTTGGCATATATTTAAACTTTTCTATTTGTTCAGTATTCTTTTCTTTGTTTCTTTGGGCACCTGGACGTGGTGTATTGGTTAACAAACTTGTCTCACTAGAACAGTTACGACTGAGTTCTGACTTCGGTTCTCATTGAGTGCTCCACACTTTCGACCTTGTGCCACATCTAAGCTACGCTTAGAAAATCATATATTTACCTGGTATAGGTGGTATCACCGGCTATCACTAGCTTAGACGAGCTCTGATCAGCTTAGGCACGCGGCCAGATTGGAAACACTCGGGCCCCCACGTTAAAAACCGACCTTGTGTCACAACCTGACTCAGTGGTGGTGGTGTGGGGGGGGGGGCAAGTAAATATCTACTTACCTTGCACATGCCGGGTAGTTTTTTGTATCATCTCTCATTTGCGTCTGTGTTTTATGGCAGAGTGCGGCTCAGTTCCGGCTCCCTCAGAGGACAGAGGCGCAACTGAGGAAAATCACACTGTGATGTGTCCGACCCTGGAGAACAGGGGCCCAAGACTGCACTTTCTCATTGCACTTGAGAGAAGGATCGATGCTCGCACCGACGCCAGCGGAAACGACAGTTGCGGGGGCTTGAGAAACTTTTGTTCTTGGACCGAGTATACCTGCTCCGGTTCCCCACGTTAAATCGACTGACTCCGTTGGATGGAAGTGGGGTCAAGTAAATCACCTTACCTAGCACATGGAAAGTTTAAAAATATTAAGCCAATGCTCCAGGCCTACCCCCAGGCAGTAGCTCTCATTATCGAGGTGGCTGGGTATATTGCCCTGAGCCTAAAGCCTCACCAAAAGGGGGAATGTCGACGGGGTTTGAGCATTTTTTTAACCGTAAACCTCCATCATGTGTCACATTTGGTAGCGATTGCGGCCGCGCTGAAAAGAAGTTTTCCTGTTTCTTAATACCTTGCTTAGCATTTAGAAGGCTCCTTTCCCTATTCCAACGCGGCTTCGGATTTCGATATCGCATTTTCCCAGATATTTAAACTTCTGGACTTGTTTAACTTTGACATCTCCAGTTCGTAGTCCCTGGAATTTTTCTCTTGCTGACAACGATACAATTGTTATAAATAATCAAGAGTGGTCTCCCCTTGTTTTGTTACTCTCTTCTTTGAGAGAGCTATTTCTGTTTACTGGTACTATGTATGTATGTATGTATGTATAGCTGAACACGCATATTCGAAGATACCCGTCTACTGGGGCGGCTAGCGAATCCCTATTGCAGGTGCTTGCTCAGACATATTTGTGTTTATTCAACGCCTACAGAGCCCACCTGTGGTTTATACTACACATATGCCGAGCAGACCTTAGTTACAATTTCTAAGAAAAAGAGTGTTATCAAAAATTTGAACAAAGTCAGCACGCTCAAACCCTCGGCCACGATGACTTGTGACTTCGTGCTAGCAGAGCTATCTACCGAATTTCACTTATAAAGCTCGGGTCAACCCGTTGTATGGTTTTCAGACACTTTCCAAAGGTGCTGCGCGCTGGGATCGACCCCTCTAGTCCGATAAACATCAGGAAGTCTCCTGACTGACAAATCGACTCTGATGAGATTCGAACCCGAGTCTTATGGTCAGAATGCGAACTTTCTAACCACGCGGCCACTATAAAGGACACTATACGCGCATCTTGTATTCTTATAACAATCTGTCTTCTTAAAATTAACAGTTAGTCTTTTCTTCTCACTTTCTTTCTAGGTGATAACAGAAAAAAAATAGAATGATGAGTCGAAATAAGAGAGAAGAAATAGTAATAATTATATCTGACCTCTTTTGTCCTGTGACTTTGGCTTGCAAGAGAGTCTTTGCGACGAGTGATCTCTGCTTTTCCTATTCGTCTGTATCAATATTGCCTCTTAATACCATAGGAACAAACGAAGTATAAACGATAACGCCAACTCTATTGTTGAAATACGTTAACAGCTTTGAGCGCCAGTTTTAGGTAAATATAATTATTTGCCTCTACCGTTATAATAATGTCTAAATACAAAAGGCACGGGTGAATAGTATTAATAATGAAACGTTAGATATAATAATAAGTAATATCGTAGAATTAAAGATAGTCTTTAGATGTGTACATGAATTAAGCTTTGAAGTGCAGAACTGTAAAAAAGAAAATGCTTTAGTAATGGGCGTATTTTGGAACACCATCTACAGAATCAAAATAGTAATTTTGGGAAAATTCAAATTGAGACCAAGATTGTAGGCTTCCATAAAGATCTATGAAGATTCTCCGAAATGGTCTCGAGCAGTGAGACGTTATGTTGGCACTATGAAACAGGAACAGAATTTCCATTGAGTGCCTCATAGCGTTGTATAGCTCCTTCACTTCTGGGGGAAGGTATTTTGGTTGACGGTGTCGACTCCACAACGAAGCTGCATTCTTCTCTCTCGGTCGACTTCTTCCGGTCGGGTGATCGCCAGTTCTTTTCTTCTCTTTCTTTCTTCTCTCGACCAGATTCGGAGATAAAATGAGGACTTCAACAAAAGGGATTTTAAACTTATCTATTGATTAAAAACATCGACGTGTACATTTTTTTAACTAGCCAGTGGGGTCGCTCTACCACCCCAACTGGGAAGCAAGTTCCCCGTGACACGAAATCACCACGTCTACATTCTTCGACGTGTAAAACTTGACTCACTGAAAACACGTTCTGACATTCCGACGTTTCGGCTCAGCCAATCAAAAAACTACTTCCTTTGTTTTGTCTACCAGCTGACCCCAAGGTCAGCCTCAGAAGTTCTGAGTCAAATAGACTGCTACTAAAAATAATAGTCAGAAACTATTATTTAACAATTGTACGACACGAATAATAATAATAATAATAAAATTGCCCATATTGTATCAGTTTGAACGGTATTGACACCCAATGAATATAAAACCCGGCCTGACAGAGTTGGCCACTATCTTCATTTGAAAATATGCAACTTGAACGGGAAGGAAACTGCAAGAAATTGGTATGAACACCTCCTAGATCCGATTACAGACCCGGTTACAAATATAGGAGCTGTAACAATTTTAAAATACACACAGACAGAACAATCAAAATTAATCGCCCAGACAGGATCAAAGACCAGAGAAAAATGTTATAGTGGAACACACCTATTCTATAGTTAATAGACTCTCACACCTATAATAAGTAGGAGTAGTAAGAGTAACGAGGGAGTTGCTTGAGTGGGTCGGTCAATCAGTCGATGCCGGACGACCGTTAGTCGGATACTAAAGTATCAGCGACCACGACTAGATTTCTCTGCGTCATTACCTATTATATGAAGTTCCTAACGTTTTGTACGTCGAACCTATTTTAGGACCGACTTAGTACAAATACAAGCTTCCACTGTGAAATCACCCCACAACAACAAAAAAAAAAAACAAAACCACCAAAAAACAAAGCAAAAAAAAACAAAACAAACCAAAACCCACCACCAAAAAACAAAAACAGAATATGTTTTATTATTGACATGGCGGTCCCTGCAGATTGTAATGTATCTTTGAAGATCTTCAAATACTATCAGTATATAAGGTCCTTGAAATGTTGGTTTGTTTTTGGTTTTTTTGCTTTGTTTTTTTGGCGTTTTTTTTTTGTTGTGGGGTGATTTCACAGTGGAAGCTTGTATTTGTACTAAGTCGGTCCTAAAATAGGTTCGACGTACAAAACGTTAGGAACTTCATATAATAGGTAATGACGCAGAGAAATCTAGTTGTGGTCGCTGATACTTTAGTATTTCAAAAATGTGGCACGTGAGGATATCACCAATTCCTATTGCAGCTGGAGCCCTCGTCTTGATTGGAAAAGGTTACGATAGACCCATTGAAGGTATTCCTTGTAACCCAAGTCATAAAGAAATACAAAAAATTGTACTTACAAGTATAACGCACGCCTTACGAAGAGCTTTATCTGTATGAAATGTGTATGATCTTAGGTCATAAAAAATGCTCAGTGGAAAATTTCATGATGATATTTCTCACCTTAGTTCTCTGGTTGGGACCCAGAAAGAAATGAGTATACATCAGAAAACAAAGGAAATAATAATAATAATAATAATAATAATAATAATAATAATAATAATAAAAATCTGCAACTTCTACGGGAAGGAAACTGAAAGAAACTGGTATGAACACCACCCAGACCCGGTTACGGAGATAGGACCTGTTACAATTCTATGGGACTACACAATACACACTGACAGAACAATCAAGGCCAACCGGCCAGATATTGTTATTAAAGACCACAAACAAAAACGGTGCCTCCTTATTGATATGGCAGTCCCTGCTGACTGCAATGTATCTTTGAAGATATTCAAAAAGTTGTCAAAGTACAAGGACCTTGAAATAGAAATCTCGAAAAATGTGGCATATGGGAACATCAAAAATCCCTGTTGTAGTTGGAGCCCTAGGACTGGTTGGAAAAGATTGCAGTAGACTAATTGAAGGGATTCCTGGAAGTCCATGCCTCAAGGAGATACAAAAAATTGTTCTGACAAGTACAGCCCACACCTTACGAAGGGCTTTATCTATGTAATTTAATTTTTTTTTTTTTTTTGTCAGTGGAAAGTGTCATGACTCCATTTCTAACCTTAGGTCCCTGGGCGGGACCCTGAAAGAAATGTGTAAACGCCAGAAATCAAAGAAAATAATAATAATAATAATAACGACATTGTGGTTGACTGGCGCCAGTTTGCAACGAGATGACAGGGTTACTCGGTACATACATTGGTCAATATTTCGCGCGTTCAACCTCCTTCGTAAAGCGAATTGGTGGGAAAATAAATCACTATATGTGGTACAGAATCCGCGAGAAATTTAGCGTGCAGACTGATCGTGAAATCCAGGCAAATCGAGCGGGCATAATTGTTAAAAGTCATGTTGGAAACCCATGTCTTTTGATAGATGTCACAGATCTCAGGATTTTATCAAGGGCAATCATTGCCTTGGTAAAGTCCCTCGGAGAACGAAACGCGCCGGCTAAGCGTGATTTTTCCTCTCTTTTTATTCATTTTGTCTCTTCCAGAGATACACTCCAGCTGAGAAGATTTACACACACACGCAAACACACACACACACACATATATATATATATAAATGTGTGTTTGTGTGTCTTCTCTATGTCTATGTCTGTATGAGGATGTGTTTCGCTTCATGTTTCGCAAATAAACCGTTCGAACATAAACATACATCATTTGGGTTGGCTTCGTGTCCGAACAGATAGAGGGACGCTTTAATTCATGAATAGACTTCATTATATGACATGACATACGAGCTGTGTATCTGTGAAACTTGAAATCGGCAGTTTTTTGAACTTCTGTTTATCAATCAATCTATCTGACTTTTCGTGCATGTGTGTGTATGCGAATATTTTCCTGCCTATATACCTGTTTTATTCTTGCGTGTGAATATATGCGCATATCTAAACAGATACACATTTATATATGTTGATGGGTATTGATTGTTTGTCTAAAAGCGTCTGACAACTCCGGCCTTTCCTCATTGAAATAAAATAAGGAGAAATTCCAAAAAAGTTTAAAAACCAATGGAAGAATTAATGTCTTCGTTGTGTAAATGAAATCTTGGCGTCAAACTTAATTTTTCGACTGTAAATTAAAATAAAATAAAAACAGTGTAATTTCCTAAAGAAGAATTTAATTTGGATTCTTTTCTGGTAAAATGTTGTTGTTCTAAGAATTAAATAGCTTTAAGCTGATATATAGATTGATGCAAAGAATATCCTTTTTAATAGGAGTCTTCTCCTTTTTCTTTTTCTGTTTCTTTGTCTTTTTTTTCTTCTTTTGATCTCCTTCTTCGTCGTCGTCTTATTTTATTATTCGTTGTTGCCTTCTTTTTCTTCTTCTTTTTCTTCTTCTTCTTCTTCTTCGTCGTCGTCGTCGTGTTCTTTTTATTATTCGTTATTGTCTTCTTTTTCTTCTTCTACATCGACTTTTTCTTCGTTGTCACCCTCTTCTTTTTCTTTTTCGTCGTCGGCGTCTTCTTTTTATTATTCGTCGTTGTCGCTTTCTTCTTCTTTTTCTTCTTCTACAACGTCTTTTTCTTCGTCGACGCCTTCTTTTTTGTCGTTTTTTTTTATTATTCGTCATTGTTGCCTTCTTTTTCTTCTTCTACATCGTCTTTTTCTTCGTCGTCGCCATCTTCTTCTTCTTCTTCTTCTTCTTCTTCTTCTTCTTCTTCTTCTTCTTTTCCAAGGGTGAATTGCTAAGTCAAAAAAATTAATGTAATTGATAGCTGTGAATTTTATTTTGCAAAAGCGGATGAAACGCGTTCTCTTATGAACATAAACACATATGAACGCATTCCATTATAATTAATTTGTCTTAGCAATTCAGACCTGAAGATGATGTTGGATGAGATCGAAAGAACTTGAGAAAATAAAAGAAATGAAAAAAAAACAAAAAAAAAAACAACTACGGCGCCTTCCTTAATGAGTTTAATATCAACTTAAGAGGTCGATCAGAGAATTTGAGAGGATTAAAATAAAAATAAATAAACATAATATGTTAAGATTATTCAACCAAAAATACTTGAATGAAGATATGCTGCATGTATGTATGTTGTGTATATATTGTCATCCACAGACAGACAATTTCGCTGTATCACAGCTCATCGGTGTGGCTAGACATCCGGTTGCCTCTAGCTAGGATCGAAACCCGACTGAATTGGCATCAGTTGGATAATCTACCCCGAAGGCGTTGGCGTACGTGAAGGCGAATTTAAGCGTATTTATTTATTTAGATAAACACACAGTGACTGAGAGAACTCCATTCGTTTTACCGAAGTGTCTTGCATTATTAGCAGTAGTAGTCACTGTGTACAAATATGCATATATATATATATATATATATATATATATATATATATATATATATATATATACAAATATAGATAACTATACTCGTTTCGAAAAACTATCGAATTTTGATTTGCCAATAATCAAATCAATCTCGAGGGAAAAAAGGTTTAAAAAAAAGAAAGAGCTACAAACATAAAAGTCTGTCGAAAAAAAATCGTACAGATGCAGGTCTGAAGCCCAAAGAAAAAACCCCGATACGAGTAAATAACTAACTAACAAAAGCCCCTTTCTTTGGTCACATGGTATATTTTAGCTATCGCCTATATATATATGCGTTTAACCTTGCCTCTTTAGCCGAATTTCCCTGACGATCCGTTTAGGTGAAACCTAGGTAGGTTTGTTTGACTCACTAGGTGTATCTATCTATATATATATATCTATATATATATATATATATATATTTAAACAGGTTTTTTTTTACTGTCACATCAAATCAAAATTGATTTAAATATAAGGATCATATTTCCCATTTTATTGTTAAAATTGATACAAAAGTATATCGTTTAAGAAAAAAAAAGGAGATATAAGGCGCCTTTCGGCCGACACTTCTTCAGAAAAATGTCGGCGGAATAAAACAAACAAGTTAATAAGAAAAATTATTATCAATGACAGATGTTAAAAACAATAGATTACCAAAATGTAATTATAGGGGGAAAGTTAAAGGAAGAGGGGGAAAAACCTTATGAGTACTAAATATTCTCTAGGTTAAGTTGTAATCTCCCCGAATATATATATATATATATATATATATAAATATATATATAATTAAACTAATAATTACTTACTCGTATCGTGTGTTTTTTTCTTTGGACTCTGGACTTGGATGGTAGACGATTATTTTCGGCTAACGTACATCTTCTTGGTTCTTTCTTTTTTGTATACCTTTTTTCCCCCTTGGGTATTGGTTTGATTATTTGCAAATCAAGACACCGAACGTTTTCGAACGAGTATAATTTCATATATTTATAAGATTATTACTAGTATATATATATATATATATATATATATATATATATATATATATATATATGTATGTATGTATGTATGTATGGGTGTTTGTGTGCGTGTATGAGGGTAACTTGACAAACACGTTTATAAAATCGAAAGCAAGCATATATCACTTGAAAACCGGATATTGATTATCGAAAATCATTCTTTTCGGAGTTACTTTAACCATTTATGTTAATATTGACTAATGGAGAAAGTTTTAATCAAATCATCCTCGGCATGAGATCAAGCAGACTATTTGGAAGCGTATGAAGGTATATTTCATTTAGCTTGGAAATATATGAAATGGTTGAATTACTATGAGCGTGTGTCTGTAGTTTATTGAATAGAGTTAGATCAAAAGCAGTTAATGTTTTAATTACAGAATAGGTAACTTACGTCACTTCTACCTTATATCTGCTCCTTAGGCGTTAGTGGCCACCAATCTAAGAGAAGGAAAAAAAAACTAAATTTCAAACCGTGAAGAGGGAAACTTTTTTTATTGAGAGTTCACGCAATACAAGGCCTAAGGGTTACTCAAGGTAGAGGGTTACTGAATCAGACTGTAATTGAAGGGGAAAGAGCAGTAAGAATATTATGTAAGCGAGTAGAATAGATATTGTTTGACTCTGGACTTAAAGAGGCCGAGATTGTAGTTGTCATAGAAGCATTCTCTTCGGGAGTTCGTTCCAGAAAGTAACAGTTCTGGAGAGGAAGTTGTTTGAGTAGAACTTGCTTTTTTATCAAAAGAAACACAAAGAGACCGGGGATGGCTTGTCACCGAGAACATGGACTGGCGGATCCTAACTATGAAGTTCCGTACAAGCTTGAACTCCACTATCTTTCCCAAGCATTTTTGGACAATTCACAGATAAGGAAAATGGATTTGTCGAAAGTCATGATCACCTTCATCCTGACGAGAGATGGTATTAAATAAAAAAAAAACCCTCATGAAAATTCAGTATGACTCTGATAGCTTTTCCTTCTTTTATAAATTTCAAAATGGCTTGCTTTTCTCCAATAAATAGCTCTCTGTTCTTCATGTTGCTTTATTCTTTTTAACAAGAAATGCAATCTTTACAGATTAAAACCAAGGCTAAAACTAAGATTCGTAATTCAGCACTATTTAATGTTAAAACGAGCAATCTTAAATGCAACAACTTGACAACAAGGAACAACTGTCAGTCACATGTTTTAATTGTTTTGCTCACTTTTAAAATTGGTGGGTTCAAACAAAAGGTGGTATGTCCTAAGTTGTTTAACACATCGAAATGTAAATACCAGGGAACAAAAGTTGACGTTCTGAGCTCTTGGTTCATATTCATCTTTTGGTCTTAAACCTAAATGTTTTGGAATTGTTCTTGCTGCTCCAATACTTATGTATATATTTCTAGAGAATTAATTATTGCAAGCAAGGATTATGCAACCAAATAGTAAATGTTATTTACTTTAAGACAATCGTTTTCTTTAATTTTGCTGAACTAAAAATCGTGTAATCTGATACAAAAGTTGCTATATACTACGCTTTTTAACACATCAAAATGTAAATACTAGGAAATAAGTGTTGAAATTCGCAATTTTCGTCTCATATTCATCCTTTGATCTTAAACCTAAATATCTTCATTTAACAACAAAAACAAAATAATTGGCCTTGCTGGTCCAATTCTTTTGCAGGGGACTGTATAAAAAACAAATAGACAAAATTAATAGAGAAAATTCATGCAACTGGAGCTACATAATCTCTAACTCTAGGAATTGCAGTATCTAATAATTAAAAAAAAAAATCATTTACATTCAAATAATACATTTCTGAAATTTTATTTAAGACAACTTTGCTTTCCCTCCCCAGGCCAATGTACTGATGTTGATAGAAGCTATGCTGATGACAGGTGTTTATAATAGGAATAACAATGATCTTGAACAGAAAATCAATATACTTTACTAAATATTCTAAGAAATAGGACTCAAGAATATATTTCCAAAACAGAAACTATGATTTAGAATTGGACTTAAAGCAGTGATGGTCCAAACCCTGAATTCTTCATAATAATTCAAGATGTGGAATTAGTAAATACTAAACACTTCAAATACTTCGGCATGCGGATTAATTATAACAAATTTAACTTAGAAGTTAAGGAAATTGGAGATAGCTTAGCTTCTGCAAGATGTTCGCCCACCGCTGCCAAATTCATCAAAATCAAAACGTCAACCTAAAAACTCAAGACACATTCTTGAATAGCCTCGTCAGATCGTGACGTTCACAAGGATGACCTGCATGGCGGCAAACCCACTTAGAAATATCTAAACTGTCAGCTGTATACAAGCGATCTTTAAGATCAATGCTTAAAGAAGTCTCCGAGCGAGTGAAGCCTGTGGGCCTTGGCAAAGACCACCCTTCTTTGAACAGTGTAGACTGGCGCTACATATTCACAAAGATTTGTAGCAAATAACAGAAACTAAATCACGTGAGGGCTACCGACAGGGGAAACAATTACAATGGACATCGCATGTAACTCAAAGAGAAAATAATGACATAACCAAGATGTTGACACTACCTCAAATAAAAGGTTGGGAAAGACCCCCCCCTTCATCAGCATCTGAAAGATCGATAGCTGCTACTGAACTTGAGAAAGCTATTTCCCTGCAATATCGTTTTAGGAGACAGATTTTAGAAATTTCAACCTACAACCGTATTGGCTGCTTTGTTCAATGAATGCCAAATGTTTCCTTATAGGGAAAAAGCTAATATTTTCATTAAAATTATAATTTGCTTTTTAGCGTCGGAGGCATCTATCCGTGTATATTGGATATAAAAATGTGTAGGTATCTATCTATCCCAGTCTGTTCATCTCTTTCAATGTGTATATCATTAAACTCGATTAGGTACTGTGTAACACACTACCCAGGGGCCATAGACACAACATTCTGATCATAGGTAAAAGGCCGGCGAGTTATAATTTAATTCAAGCTACTTGTCGTCAGTGCTGATTCGATTTGAAAACACAGTGCAAATAAGGATATATATCTTATCTTCAACAGGGTTGCTTATTTCCGGACATGCCCATCTGTTTGTGTTTCTTCAAATCCATCTTTGCTACAACTATGCTGATCGAATCTTATAGTTCAGGTGTGTGCCCAACCACGGCCACATAACGTTTTAAATTCAGAGTCTTTTTCCTCTTATATTGTTTGCCAACCACGGCTAGAAAGTCCAGATTATTATTTAACCTATAACTGGGGTTGAGATGGGATGGATTCATACATTTTCCAAAGGTATTCGTGCGAATGTTCCCCCTTATGCAAATTAATTGTAACAATCACTTTAGTTTCCTTTCTGTCACCATACGGTCAGTTTTAGACGCACTGGTGTGAGAGGGTGTAAACAATTTCTATTTTTTCATCAGGTTAGGTCATTGCAGTAATATGAATCTGTTTTCGGGGTGTATGATGAAATTTGTTTGGCCTTGAAAAATATTGCGTCATCTGTGATTTTATCAGATTTTATCACGCCAAGACACTATTGTCTCGACTGTCGATTAGTCGTCCTACGGCTATTGTCTGTGATGGACGTTACTCCAAGGAAGCGTATGAAAATTGTAACGCTGCACAAACACACTGACAAGCCTTACCAGTAATCAAATAAAAGTAGTATCAACTGGCTTGGAAACTCTCCTGATTTAAATCCAATCGAGAATCCGTGGTCAGTCTGCAAGGAACGACTTCGTGGAAAGGACATACGAAGTAGTATATATATATATATATATATATATATATATATATAGTTAAATTCAATTTGGTGGACAAGACAAATTGGTATAAGACTTGATAGGGGAATTTAGCTATATTGTCGACATGGAAGGAAAAAAAAATCTTAGTATAAAGGAAATTTTCATTAACCAGAACGAGGCTTACGCAGAAGCGTCTCTTTTTTTTAAATTTGTATGTTTTAATGTAACTATAACAACAAAAACATTTCGATTTCATTTTTTGCCTTGAAAAGTCGGAAGACGTAACGCGTCGGCAGAAAACTAAGATTTTTTCCAATTGTCATCTTATACTATATATATATATATATATATATATATCGATTAATTTGCATAAGGGTGTAACTACCTCGACCGGAGTTCGAACTCAGCTCATAGATTTCTCATTCCGAACCGCTGAACAGTTTTACAACTAAATCCATATACGAATAAAGGGGACATTTTTCGTTAGGCTTAAAATGCTAGTTGAAAAAAAAAAAAAATGAAAGACATACAGAAATACCTCGATAAATATATAACATAAGCCTGTACAACGAAGCATCTCTCAAGAAAAAAAATTGTTTCTTCTCGTTTGACTGTGTCTCTCTCTCTATCCATCTGTCTGTCTACCTATCTATCTACCTATGTCAATCTGTTCCTTCCTATCTATCTATCTATCTATCTATGTCAATCTGTTCATATCTATCTATATATCTATGTCAATCTGTTCCTATCTATCTATCTATTTATGTCAATCTGTTCATATCTATATTCCTGTTAACCGGCGAGGCTGCTATTTTGATAATTGTTTTCGAATTTCAATTTTACCACTTTCCGGTAATGTAAACCTTATTTTTGTTACCCCCACTTTTTGGGGTTATTTTTCTCACTTGTTTTAATGCACAAATAAACCGCCTCGGCAGATATGCAAAAATAGAAAGGGGCATAAGGCAAGGTTGTGCCTTCTTACCGGACTTATTCATCCTATACAGCAAGGCAATTCTGAAAGAACTGGAAATCCTATCAGGATTCGTCACTGGCGGTCACAATCTTAACAACATAAGATACGCAGATAACACAGTGCTGGTAGCAGACACGGAAAGAAAACTACAAAACTTCTTACAGAAGGTAACAAAGGAGAGCGAGAAGAA